AGCTTTCATTATGGTTCAAAAACTAAATTTTCCAACCTTGTTGCATCTGTAGTTTTCTTTCCACTTTGCACACCAAATAAAACCAAGGTTCCAAGGCTCGTTGGTCTAGGGCTATGATTCTCGCTCAGGGTGCAAGAGGTCCCGGGTTTAAATCCCAGACGATCCCAGCTTTCATTATGGTTCAAAAACTAAATTTTCCAACCTTGTTGCATCTGTAGTTTTGTTTCCACATTGCACACCAAAAGAAAACCCATGTTCCATGGCTCGTTGGTCTAGAGGTATGATTCTCGCTTTGGGTGCGAGAGGTCTCAGGTTCTAATCCTGGGCTAGCCCAGCTTTAATTATGGTTCAACACCTAAATTTTCCACCCTTCTTGCATCTGTGGTTTTCTTTCCACTTTGCACACCAAATAAATCCAACGTTCCATAGCTCAATGGTCTAGGGGTATGATTCTCGCTTTGGGTGTGAGAGGTCCCGGGTTCAAATCCTGGACAAGCCCAGCTTTCATTATGGTTCAAAACCTATATTTTCCATGTGTTTTGCATCAGTAGTTTTGTTTCCACATTGCACACCAAAAGAAAACCCATGTTCCATGGCTCGTTGGTCTAGGGGTATGATTTTCGCTTTGGGTGCGGGAGGTCCCGGGTTCCAATCCTTGTTGAGCCCAGCTTTAATTATGGTTCAACAAATACATTTTCCACCCTTGTTGAATCTGTAGTTTTGTTTCCACTTTGCACAGCACATAAAACCCATGTTCCATGGCTCGTTGGTCTAGGGGTATGATTCTCGCTTTGGGTGTGAGAGATCCCGGGTTCAAATCCTGGACGAGCCCAGCTTTCATTATGGTTCAACAACTAAATTTTCCAACCTTGTTGCATCTGTAGTTTTGTTTCCACATTGCACACCAAAAGAAAACCCATGTTCCATGGCTCGTTGGTCTAGGGGTATGATTCTCGCTTTGGGTGTGAGAGGTCCCGGGTTCAAATCCTGGACGAGCCCAGCTTTCATTATGGTTCAACAACTAAATTTTCCAACCTTGTTGCATCTGTAGTTTTCTTTCCACTTTGCACACCAAATAAAACCCAGGTTCCATGGCTCGTTGGTCTAGGGGTATGATTCTTGCTTCGAGTGAGAGAGGTCTTGGGTTCAAATCCCAGACGAGCCCATTTTAGTTATGGTTCAACCCTTGTTGCATCTGTAGTTTTGTTTCCACATTGCACACCAAAAGAAAACGCATGTCCCATGGCTCGTTGGTCTAGGGGTATGATTCTCGCTTTGGGTGCGAGAGGTCCCGGGTTCAAATCCTGGACGAGCCCAGCTTTAATTATGGTTCAACCCTTGTTGCATCTGTAGTTTTGTTTTCACTTTGCACAGCACATTAAACCCACGTTCCATGGCTCGTTGGTCTAGGGGTATGATTCTCGCTTAGGTTGCAAGAGGTCCAGGGTTCAAATTGCAGACGACCCCAGCTTTCATTATGGTTCAACAACTAAATTTTCCTACCTTGTTGCATCTTTCCACTTTGCACACCAAATAAAACCAACAATCCATGGCTCGTTGGTCTAGGGGTATGATTCTCGCTTAGGGTGCGAGAGGTCCAGGGTTCAAATCCCGGGTGAGCCCAGCTTCCATTATGGTTCTACAACTAAATTTTCCAACCTTGTTGCATCTGTAGTTTTGTTTCCACATTGCACACCAAAAGAAAATTCATGTTCCATGGCTCGTTGGTCTAGGTGTAGGATTCTTGCTTCGGGTGCGAGAGGTCCCGGGTTCAAATCCCGGACGAGTCCAGCTTTAATTATGGTTCAACACCTAAATTTTCCAACCTTGTTGCACACCAAATAAAACCCACTCTCCATGGCTTCCATATGGCACACCAAATAATTTCGACCTTCCATGGCTTGCTGGTCTAGGGGTATTTTTCTCGCTCTGGGTGCGAGAGGTCCTGGCTTCAAATCCCTGACTCGCAGAGTCATTACTATACCATTATTTAAAAACAATTTCTTGTACGTAACATTCTCTAAACAGCTCTCTGAGGCACTTTGGATAACACACCTACTGGATTGTAGCAAGTTTTTTTTGGTTGTCTACCAGCCCTCTACAAGAATAGATAGATATTTGTGTTTCGATATTAGTGTTCCCCATCCTCACTTTAGCTGGCTGATGAGTGATCTGTCACAAGTTTGCAGAAGTTCGGATGAAAGGATAGGGATATGTGCCACGACTCTCTATTGGTACCATGAGTTCACCCAGTCACTTCTGGGTGAATCGAAATATTGCCGTGTTGCCATGTTGACATCAAGGATCTGCCCCATAGTAAACACCACAGTTTCTAGACCACTATAATAAAAAAAAGTTTGATAGAGAGCTCAGGCATTAACCACTGTGGTCAGAGGGCAAATTTGGTCGAGTGGAATTCAGATCCTTTGTCGAGTGGAATCCAGAATCCCATATTGTGCCTTTGTGCAACTCTGTCAACTCCTTATCCTGAAAGAATTGCAGGGCAGACATGGCATGCTGAGGGATGCAGCTCTAGCATGGTCATCATTTTGACTTCATTCAACACCTTTGCTTCATCCCCCAAGGAGAGAAGGTCAGAAAAATGGTTTCAAAAGAAAGAGCATCCAATCTTATGCCCTGAAAGACATAAGATGGAATCATTTTCTGGCCCACCAAAGGAAATAGATGGCCAATCCAAATACAGGAAGCCTAGATCAATACAGCACCTGCTGGGAGGCACCCTGGAGGACCTGGCATGTCTGATCCCACTGCTATCTGTGCGTACCCCCTGTAGATGACTTGATTGCTGACTATAAGAAAGCCCATATCGTCATGTGCATAAGCATTGCTCTGCCCTTGCACCCTCCTGCTAGGTGGATGCCCAGAACCTCAATAAACAGATCATGATCATATTTCCAGCAAAGAGACAAGTTCTGCTTGGGCACATGTAGGAACACGACATTGTGTTATGTGAGCTCAGGAAAAGGAGTGTCTTATGTTCGAAATTCATAGTTTTCATTGGTCCTTTTTATTACTGGCCTGCATGAATCACTCTCCTGGTTGGAAAACTTCAAGGAGACTAAAAGCGAACCCTTGCTTTATTGTGAGCCATTATTTGTGAATAATAGGTGCTAAGATTTCAAATAAAAATGGTAAAACTCTGCACGGGAACCCTGCAGCATCACTTTACAGCAGAAAACTATATGCAGAGTTATCCATCCAGTTAAGCTGTGTGGTATTTTCCATAGCCAAAATACCACACCATCATTAGACTGTCAAGCTGCTTCTTCTGCTCTGGAAACACTGTCCTTGGTCACAGTTGGGAGTGCATTTAATAAAAGACCTGTCTCTTTCAGATCCCAAAATATCCATCAAATCTCTGTCTCCACCCATAATGTTTTTGGAGTTTCTTTTTTAATCATGAGTTTTTGATCAAATGTATTTTATTACAATACATTTTGTGACTAAAGATTGAAAGTCTTGTAATGAATTTAAGAAAAAGGGAAAGTTACTGCTCAATGCATTGCAATTACCACTGGTATGATGAAACATCTTCAAATACAATCGTTTTACATTTAGAGTGTCTATATCATAAAGTTTTAAATGTTCAGTACTAAACTTTTAATGCCAATACCTCATTAATGGAGTTTGATATCAAAGCCTTTGGCACAAGCAGATTTCATGAGTAAGAGTATGAGGCAAGCTGCCTCAGAGAGCTCATACCATTATCTTCCCTCCTACATTTTGCCTGTTCATGTCAGGGGTATAGCTTTGTGGAGATTTTTTGGGTCAAGGGCAGGGTTTGGTTTCACTCTGCAGAAGTAACTAGAATTTTTTTTTCCTGCTCACACATCAGAGGCCTCATCTAGATACACTTCATTTGTATAAAAGTGCCTACCTCATCTTTCACGCACATGGTCAGATGTACTGACAGTGACATGAACATGAAAAAGTTTTTTTATCAATTTTTTTCTCTGTCTACTATATAAGCAATGAAATAAAGCAGCAAATGGCTAAAATATATTGGGCTACCACTGATCAAACACCTTTGAATGCAGAGCTTAACTAACATGTGATTGTAACTGTAACTTTTTTCAAGATTTACATTTTCCTATTGTTAAATTTACTGATCTTACTGTTAAAGTTACTGATGTAAAGGCCTCTACAGACTGATTTAAATTAAGATTTCTTCATCTTTGATGAGGTATTATTGATGCGATGGTACTTCCTGCCGGAAGATGGCGTTTGTAGTACAACAGATGCTCACCTCGCCAAATGAGGAAACAGGAAAGGAGATGCGCAAAAAGAAGACGACAACCGGGAAGAAATCAAAGAACAAATTGAAAAAAATCATGGAAGTTGAGCGTTTTATACTGTTGATGGCAGATCACGGTTGCGGCCTTTCTGTGTTAAGCTTACTAAACGACATTTTAACATTTTTGTGACTTAATTTCTCCAAAGTTACTTCTGACTTGCTCTTGGGAATCCAAAATAGTGTTTTTGGGTGCTTCCCTTTTGTGTCCAACCTAATATCCTTTTCCACATCATGTAAGTGGTTTTCCAAAACACAACATTGAGTAGATAAGCCCTTGAAACATACTATGTTTCTGATTCCAGCAGCTATCTCAACTTGTTAGCTAATATATTCGAACAATGAACAATACATATATGCAAATTTTTAACAGTATTATTTTTTTGATAGTTTTGATAACTTGTCACAATACCATGTCTTCACTTTAAGGAGACCACATGAACTAAAGTTCATTGATTGATTAATTTTTCCTGCCATCTAATTCCCTTTCGGGGTTACGGGGGTCTGCTGGAGCCTATCTCCAGTTCACATCGGGCGAGAGGCAGGGGTACACTCTGGATAGGTTGCACCATCAGTCCACTGCAGGGCAACACACACATTCACACCTAAGGGGAATTTAGATTATTTAATTCAACTAACCGCATGTTTTTGGAAAAGCTACATGCAAACTCCTTCCAGGAAGGTAACT